TGATGCCAGATCTTCCTCTATTTGTAGAGAGAGCTAGGTTATGTCAGCACAGCAGCCAATCACAAGGCAGGTCACCAATCGCCAGTCCCCAAGCTCCAGAGAAGTCTTAAAGGGACCTCAACTTACAGCGACACAGTCCACAGGCTAAGCGTCCCACAGGTAGTGTTGCCTTTAAATTGAGGCACAGACAAGTAAGGCAGCAGCACACTGGTTCGATGATCACAGAGCAAGAGACAAGAAAGGCAAGGCTCACCAACCCATTCATCTCCCGCCCTTCAGTTAATCCCACTTGTGTTTATCGGCCAGGCTGGCAAATAAACTATCTCAATCCACCCCTTGCCAACCTGGCACCTGTACACAATTCTTTAGCCATATATACATATATAATTTGCGGACATTGATGAAATCACACTTATACTTATCATCATTCATCTATTATACATATAAATGAAAACATAGTCCAATTATATCTGATATATCATACCTGAATGAAGGAAAGATATGCAATAAACACATAAAAAGAAAATACATTGACAATTACAAACCTCGCTTTTGCAATTGATCACGTGCTCGTAATTGATAGGTAGAACTACCTTCTACTACTACCCATTCTGTATTACCTTTGCCCTCAGCAAGTACCTCAGCTGGCTGTGATTTTTTGCCTGGTGGGTTGACCCAGACCTTCATTCCTGAGGGGTCTGGGTCATTATAAGTCCTGTCTGGATTGGGTTGCTGTGCTTTACCATTTACTTTCATCACAGGGCATGGTAGCACTAAGAGTTGGCCTATGAGATCTCCTGGATTCCAGACATATTCTTCTTTACCTCCATTATGTAACACCAGTCCAATTTCTCCTTGGTAATCAGGATCAATCACACCACTCAGTACAGTGACACCCTTCCTGACCTGTTGATCCAAAGGCATAAGAAGCCCAAAGTGGTCAGGGGGCATTCTCAGCTGCTAGTTCAGTGGAATCTGTGCTGTGTTTCCGTGGGAGAGTTCCTTCCTTCAGGACCAGGACCTCCAGGCCTGAGGAACACAGGGTTGCTGGGACAGGAAGCAAAAATGCACTAGGAGTAATAGTGAGTGGTGCCACTGCAGCTTCCACCCCTTGGTT